TGTGATTCCAGAGACGGAATCATCCTAAGGTAGGGAGAATTGTAACTCCCGTGTTTTTGGGCTTGCCATTTTTTAGCAATGTAATAGTCTAGGTTAACCTTTGTAACCCAATTTGCAACAATAAGAATGTATTATTTGCGAATTATGTATTTTATATTTATCTGCTTAATTATGTGATTTGATTTAATCAAGAATAAAAATAAGCATAAAAATGAAATGCTATATAAAACCGATATCGATGCACGAAGATGTAGTGGCTGAGATGAGGTTTCCGAAAATATAAAGAATGCTGAAATCCGAGTTCTAACGAAGAAGTTTTGACCTGTCAAAGTTTCGCGACAAAACTGGTATGGCACAGTGTAACGTAAATAGTGAATTTACGAAGTAGTAATATTTTGCCTTCGTGATCAACACGAAAGACGTAGATAATGTTGAACCGAGAGCGTGCACAAAAAGAGCGCCTAAATCTGACTTCGTATGAGGAAGTTATGATTTTTCGAAGTTTCAGTTTAGCAATAGACAGCCCAAAAGTTCGAATTGAGATCGAGCGAGTTTTAGCCGAAACATTCTAAACGAGAATCGAATATCTCGTCGATGGTAGTGCAACGACAGAAAGAGGGACGAAAACGGACGTCAGACGAAGAAGTTATGAATTTCTAACGAAGTTTTTCTGTCTCGGCCTACTAAAAATAAATAATAAAAATAAAGTCAAAATTAGCCAATAGAGTCTAAATGAAAGTTGTAGAGCTTAATCTCACCAACGTGTGGATATAAAGAACGTCGAAAACGAAGCTCGTATGCAAAAGTTATGAATTTTTTAAGATCGTGGCATGCATACCAAAGCTTATCCGAAGCGTACGCCCAATGTAAGGCTTGGTTCGCCCAGCGTACTTGGAGTTACTCCCAGCGTAATCCCAGACCCATCACCCTATAAATAGAAACCGAGATCAGCCATTTTCCTTGCCATTTTTCTTTCTTTCTCTCTAGTTTTCACCTTGGTTTGCGTGCTAATTATATCCCGAAGCCCCGGTATCATTCTCGAGTCCCGAAGCAAGTCCAGAAGCCCCGAAGATCCCAAGAAGTGAGATTCCCGAGCCGAAGCTCTACCCACAAGGAGCCCGGTTTTTGTGAAGATCTTCCAGATCTACCGAAGAATACTACTTCTACGAACCGTAGTGCTGTCTGATCATCTTCTGATCAAGTGAGTGTGTAGTTACTTTCTTCTAACGAATAACTATGAATTATTTTATATAAAATACGTATTTTGTGTATATTTTGTTGTTATATGTGTGAACGTATATTCATTTTCTTCTATCTCATAGATATGATTTGTTTACTATGAAATACGTGTAATGTGTATGTGTCCCATCTGTTGTTTGGAATAGGTATTGAATGAGAATGCTATACATGTTTTAAACTATGTATAAAATATATATTTTTATCTACTAATATGTTGGGTAGAACATTGGTAGATAGTTGATGTGTGATAAACAGATGAGAGGCCTAGATGTTGTTGTTGTTGATCTAGTTATTCAGCAGAGTATGGATAACGATCACAGACTCTTTCTAGACAGTCCTGTGGAACGCTAACAGGCTCATAACTTGTAGGCATTGCGAACGATGTGTTCACCGGTGTACTCTATCCCCCTCATGGTTGTCTTTAGGACATTTATTGCTGAGGAAACCCCTTACAGTAATGTCCATCCCGATGAAAATCCTAAATTAGGTTCCTTATAATAGATGTTGTTTTAGGGACGTAAAGTGAGGATAACAGGAATGGGTAATCGGGTTATTGTTGATTGTTGAAATTAAATATAATTATTTATGCGGGTTGAAAACCCTATATGCTCACCAGGCTCTCAAGCCTGACCCACTCAGTTTATTTGTATTACAGGAAGTGGCGCGAGGGCATAAGATGGATGAATAATCAAGTTGTTTTGTTTACAAGTTTGTATATGTATATATTTGTTGAATGACTTGTAATGTTATCGTTTATGCTTTATGGTCTGTATCGGAACATGACATCCCGATTTTTGATTATGAAATGAAATTATATTTCTTTATAAAATGTTTTGATAAAAATCTATTTTATCATTTTTGTTTTTGGGAACAAATTCCGCATCTCTTTTAAAATCAAAAGGATTTACTCTGAAAATGTTTAAAAAGCATAAATGAAACGGGTCTTTTCTGGCCGAGATTTTGGGGATGTCATTGTGTCTAACATATTCTTTGGTATATTCGAGGTACGGTGGATATGAATTTATACTAAACAAATTCATCAAATACGAAGTTAATTGGTTATGCAAATGTTGGATATTTATCTGATCTACATAAAGCTCGAACTCAAACAGGTTATTTATTCAGTTATGGATAGAGGTGGCAATTGTGTCGTGTCGTGTTAGGTTCGTGTCGTGTCGAAACACTAAATGGGTTGAAAGTGCACAACCCTAACCTGACCCATTTAATTAACGTGTCGTGTCGTGTCAACCCGTTTATTTTCGTGTCGAGTTCGTGTCGGGTTTCGGGTTAGGGTTATACCTTGAAATATGTCGTGTCATGTGAGGTTAAAAGAAAGAGCATGTTGAAAGAGTAGGAGTTGAGTAGGCGGTAAGGAAAAACTAATAGTTTGGAGGTAGAATAGATGAAATCATAGCAAGTTCATATGAAAAAACTAAAAGAGTGGGAGTTGGGGAAGCGGATAACAAGGTCATGAGGATGTGAGAGTGGTGAAAGAGACTGGGTAGTTTAGGAGAGAATGGAAAAACTGAAATGAAGTCTTGATCTAGACAGCTAAGTCATTTCAACATTACAAAACAATTTAATTTGAAGGTTTTCTTTTGCTTATGGTTTTGGTTTTGTATCTTTCTAGATTATTTAAATAATTTAAAAAGCATGCATATAAATAAACGGGTCATTTTCGAGTTGAAATTCTTAACCCTAACCTTACCCATTTAATTTTCGTGTTGTGTCGTGTCAACCCGTTTATTTAAACGGGTTGAAATATCTTACCCAAACCCGTTTATTTCGTGTCAGGTTCGTGTCGGGTTTCGTGTTGTGCCAATTTTTGTCACCTCTAGTTATGGAGGTAAGAAAATTTCTTGACATTATGTTAAACAAACTTTAGTTGCTGCTTATTCTAACCATGCAGAGATTATAGCAATTCATAAGGCAAGTCATGAATGTATTTGGTGAAGAAAGTTAACTCAACATGTTCGTAAGAATTGTGGTCTAACTTCTAACAGGGATGTTTCAACCATACTATATGAAGATAATACGACTTATATAGCTCCATTCAAGGAATGATTTATCAAAGGAGACAGAACCACATACCACCCAAATTCTTTTTCACTTATGATCTTCAAAAAGAGTATGGCATCAACATCCAGAAAATTCAATCAAGCAAAAACATTCCTGATTTGTTCAGTAAAACACTTCCTACATCCAAATTTGAAATGATGGTACGAAACATTGTTATGTGGCGCTTCAAGGAAATCAAGTTATGTGTTGATCAGGGGGGTTAGAAAGATATTGTACTCTTTTCCTTAGTTTGTTTTTCCCACTGGGTTCTCTCAGCAAGGTTTTTAACGAGACAATTGTTCCCGATATCTATTATTAATCATATACTCTTTTTCCTTAATAAAAGATTTTTCCCATGAGGTTTTACCTATTAAGGTTTTAAAGAGGTATGATACAATCGTCATTCAAAGTGGAGTGTTATGAAATATTAGTTTGTGAATGACCATTGGATTACCTATTTCTCTCATAACTTTCTATCATTATTTAGCATTAGTAACAACCATTTCAATGTGTTTTATGAGTATAATAATGCACCATTATAATGTGCATTCATCTTTCATCTTATTTTGGTTGTATAAACAGTGAGTCATATAGTTGATGATTTCATCACAAGTATTGAAATAAAGTTCTCTTCACTCATGTTTTTCTGTACTTTATAATGTATCTTATTATTTGATTATATTTTATAACAAATATGTGTACTCGTGTTTTGTATTATTAATTATGAATTAAATAAACTTAAGAGTTATTTAATTATACCTTTCTTTTGTGTTTGTCGTGTTGATCTTTTATCATATTTTTTCTTGAACGAAAAATTTAATCTACTCCTAAACTACAACCGATTCAATCTGTCTCAGACAAGACTTAAACTCTCGAGAGCAACACGTGATACCACAAAAACCTTTTCGTATCTTTTTTTATCATGTTTTAATTGGGTTGCTTTTGTGTTAGTAAACCAAAACATACCATGTCGTTTTCGTGTTATATAAAAAATAGTTTGTCGTGTTAGTTAAAAACACAACAAAACTATCCAACTCGTCAGCCATAATTTTCATAATATCATTTTTTTTAATTGTAATAAAATGCCAACTATTTGTAAAGAACTTACATAACAAAAAGAACATTGCTAAATTACTTTACACAACTTATTTTGATCTATTATCCACCTTGTCCATTCGCTTTCTAGTTATAACCCCTTAAAAATACAGTGATGTTCGAAGTTTAAAGCCTAAATTCAGACCATGACAAATATGTCCCTAGAGTAAAAGGATAATGGTTAAATATTTTTTTTTTTACATGAGTTAAATATATTAATTGCATAATCTGGATAGCTATACATTGTTGTTTCTTTTTAACTTTATATCAATAGAATGACTTAATGGGTTAAGACAAAGAAACATAACTTAATGTATAAAAACAGGAACACTTTACCTATTTCCCCTTATTTTTCCACCCAACTCCTCTCAAGTCAAAATCAATCAATATTGATAAAACTGATAAATACTGTGACAATTATTTGTTGCAATGTGGGGGTAAAATGGTAATAAGTTACTAACAACCCACAAATTACACAGCCCCATTTCAATTTCTGGTATCCTTGTAGGACCTATACAGAAACTCAAAAGAATCTTTCTCACAGAATGCATTCAAACACAAAAACAGTAGAGACTAACACAATAACTTCAACAAAAATAAATTGTAAAAAAAAAAAAAAAAAAAAAAAAAAAAGAAGTTAATGTCATTACAACAAAGATGGGATGAAAGACATGTTAAGATGCTTTGTCCATGAGTTGTATGGGTGCCAATATATTAGTCTTGCTTGTTTCCACAATACACCCATTCATCACCATCTCCTCTAACATAAAATGAGCTTTCTCCAAGTGAAACATTATGTCCAATTCACACTTCAAACACAAAAATAAAAAATCTAGTCACCACAACGGGCAAATACGTAATTATAACTTCCCAAAAAAAGCACATTGCATGATGGAGCTATGGGGATACTTACCACATTGCCAAAGTGTCTGTCCATGGTTTCAACTAAGAGATGTATGAATTCCAAGATTGCAAGCTCATTCTGCCATAAAATATATACAAAATTTTCAAAATCAAGAAAAGGGTCTATTTTTTCTTGAATATAACAAAGAGAGATGACTTACTTCTTCATTGTCAACTCCAACTAGAAAGAACAATGAGGCATAACGTCTGTACACAATTTTGTAGTTCCGGTGTTCAACGAATGAACACTGATGTTAAGAAAGTGGAAAAGAGTGTTATGAACAAAGTGATGATGATTGAAATAGATGTAAAATTACACGACTATCCCTAGATTTAATCTGCTGATTAGCTATTTATTGGATGTTTAGATTATTTGGTTCTAATTCTTCAAGTTGTAATAATCACTATGAGTATGAACAAGCCAGCAATCCTATTCCATCCTAATTGGTAATGAACTTGATTCTGATTATGCCAGCAATCCTATTTTGAAGTAACTGATTCATGTAATGTAAGGCACATAGCTGATTAAACGAAAATCAATTAAACCTAAAATAACTTTATAACCCCAGTTGATCATATATCTATGCATCCTAAGCATATGTTTGATTGATCGAATATCATGCATAGATGATAGATCTCTCATTAGTTAATAAATCGTGTAGGCTAAAATCACCCAAGGAAGCAATCCAATTTCAAGCTCAGATCCATTTTGAACTACTAAATCTATGTAAGATAAGGCCCCTAATCAGATTCATCTGGAGTCAATTGACCCACTGTATCTCGATATCCCCAATCGATCTTCTATTTACACATCCTAAGAATAAAATAGTGGCTGATTGAATATGATGCATAGATCCTTTTGGAGCTAAAAAATCATGTATTCGCAAACCATGTGATTGCCAAATGCTATGCATAAACATCTGTAATTATAGAGAGAAATTAGCATGAATATGACCTGTTGTTCGTTGCGAGCGAGGCACTTGCGAACAATTTCACCCTCAAGAGCTCGTCGTTCTTCTAGGGTTAGGTATTCGTAGTATTGGGCAAGACGGGTCTGGCCTTGCTTGTTCACCATCAGTATAAATCTGATCCCCATTGATTGTTTCTACTCAAAATCTCCAAATCAATTCTCGGTCTCGGGTGATCTATGTGATTTATCTGGAAACTTTCGAAGAAACTATAATTTTGAAGCGATCGTTCGTGCAGTTCGACTGGGATTTCATGGATATATACAAATTAACAAAAATGACAATCGGCCCTGTTAATAATAATAATAATAATAATAATAATAATTTAAAAGGATAATATATTTTTTGATTTGTATACAAATTAACAAAAATGACAATCGACCTGTTAAAATGTAATTAAAAAATAATAATAATAATTTAAAAGGGTAATATATTTTTTGATTTGTATATTTTATCATTGATTTTCTTTTCGTTTATATTTAATCTTTCAACTTGTTAAATTGCACATATTCATTCCTTATAAGTTATGACTGGCTATTTCAGTTTAACCGAGAAAAATAACTTAATAAAATAATATATTTCTCATGTTGTACACATTTAATCCTTGATTTTTTTTTTTTTTTTTTTTGCATATTTAGTCATTGATACTTTTTTGTTGCAAAATAAATCATTTTTTGTTTTTTATACTTATTCATTACTTATGACTGATTTCTTTGGGTTTTTATCACGACATTTTACATTGAACAACCATTAATAAGTTATTTGAGGTCGTCGATGTTTATGTTCATAGCTATCTCGACTACTTGGTTGCTTAGGTCTTATGGTTTGGTTTAGGTCTTGTGTTCTGAACGTCGTAACTTGTTCATACGATATCCGATTTTAACGATCTTTATATCCTCGTGTTTGTTTTCTAGGTCTACTACAACTTTCGTTAAGATTACGTCTGTAAATATGTAATATATTTTTACTTACAATTTTATAAAAAAAAACATTCATACATGCCTTTATATTTAAAAAAACGTATGGATATAAAAATCGTAAGTAAAAATATATTACTTTTTAACTTGAGTAATCTAAACGAAAATTGTAGTAGACTAAAATACGAACGCATGGTTATTAAGATCATTAAAATTCGAGATCATATGAAAAAGTTATGACATTCAAAACACAAGACTTAAGTCAAACCACAAGACCTAAGCAACCTAGCAATCGGGATCGCAATGAACATAAACATCAAAAACCTCAAACACATCATTAATAATTGTTCCACATAAGATGTCGTGATAAAAACTTAAAGAAACCAGCCATAAGTAATGAAAGAGTACAAAAAAATTTGACTTATTTTGCAACAAAAAATTATTAATAACTAAATGTGCAAAAAAAAATATTAAGAACTAAATGTCTACAAAATGATAAATATATTACCCTATTAATTTATTTTTTTCGGCTAACCTAGAGTAGTCGGTCATAAGAACTAAATATGTACAGTTTAACAAGCTAAAGTGGTAAATATGAATGAAAAAACTCAGTGATCAAATGTATACAAATTGAAAAATATATTACATGTTTAAGCCACTATCCCTTAAAAAATCTTTTAGGGTGTTACACTGATCTAAAGTAGCTAGGTGGATAATTATGTTTCAAAAATCTTCAACAGATATCATTTATGTAAAGGTTAAGAAAAACATCATCCAAATAAATTTTTTGTTTAAAAATACCAACGAACTACACATTTAATTCAAATGTCACCTTATTGTAACTAACATTTATAGGTAAGGGCAAGATATTACCAGAAAAAAATAATTAAGAAAAAAAAACAAGGAAAAATTACTATGTTTCGAAATCGTTCAGAAAAACAATGACGTTAACTACGTTTCAAAATCGTTCAAAAAATACCTTCTAAGTTTGGTATGTTCAAAAAACAACATCCAAGTAATATCTTTTGTATAAAAACATACCAATGAACTTTACTTTTTGTTCAAATGTTAACCATCGGTAACTTTGTTTATTGGTGGCACGTCATAATAATTGGTGACATAACATTAATTTGTATATTCTTCCTTTATAAATCGATTTAGGGCTTCTTCATGAATGAACTACTTTTTGTTCTCCTCTGATGGCTTCAGCTTCTACTAAATCTATGATCGCCAACTCAAACTCACACATTTCAAAGACACATAAGATATTTGATGATGGAAACCCTTGTGGTTGTGGGCACCCTTCTTGAATTTGGACATTAACCGTTAAGATTGATTATAGCATAAAAGTTCATGGCTTGTCCCAACTAGATGGTAAGTTTAACTCAAAGTTTTATCATGTCCTCCTATACATTTTCTTGGTTATGTGATTCATTTTGTAACGTCCCAGAAACCCAGAACCAAAAATTTTGTTTTTATATTAAATACACATCAACCAATGTGATAATCAAACCCATAAGAAAGTTATAGTGTATCAATAATCATCCAAAATACATCAAATTCAATAAAGCGAAAAATCATGGTGTATGTGTGTGATGTAATCATCCCGAGCTCTTCCCCTTCGAACCGGAAGTACCTAAAACATAAACTCAAAATCGTAAGCATAAAGCTTAGTAGTTCCCCAAAATACCACATATCATACATATTGGTGGCACGTCATAATAATTGGTTATCTGACATTAATTTGTATATTCTTCCTTTATAAATCGATTTCGGGCTTCTTCATGAATGAACTACTTTTCGTTCTCCTCTGATAGCTTCATCTTCTACTAAATCGATGATCGCCAACTCAAACTCACACATTTCAAAGACACAAAAGATATTTGATGGTGCAAACCCTTGTGGTTGTGGGCACCCTTCTTGAATTTGGACATTAACCATTAAGACTAATGCTAGCATAAAAGTTCAGGGTTTGTCCCAATTAAATGGTAAGTTTAACTCAAAGTTTTATCATGTCCTCCTATATATTTTCTTGGTTATGTGATTCATTTTGTAACGTCCCAAAAACCCAGAACCAAAAAATTTTGTTTTTATATTAAATAAACATCAACCAACGTGATAATCAAACCCATAAGAAAGTCATAGTGTATCAATAATCATCCAAAATACATCAAATTCAATAAAGCAGAAAAATCATGGCGTGTGTGCGATGCAATCATCCCGAGATCTTCCCCTTCAAACCGGAAGTACCTAAAACATAAACTCAAAACCGTAAGCATAAAGTTTAGTGAGTTCCCCAAAATACCACATATCATACATATAATAGGCCATCATTCCCCACCCGATACATACAAACACATACAATACATGCAAGAGTCACAAATATGGGTAGCATACTATAACATAATCCAATGGGTCGACATTGGTGCCTTCGACCAATAAGTACTTATGAGAAGACTCACCTTGATCAGATAATAGAAAATCTCTCACCCGAGTCTACTGAACAACGACTCCTCACACTAACACAATCAATACCAACCCTAGTTACTATCTAAGGTTAAGCCAATAATCGTAAGGCCCAATAATGACCTAAGCCTAAAGTAGGCCTTTTAATGGCCTAAGCCCAACTAGAGAACCCTAAGGCCCAACATGGCCCAAAAGTTTCAAAATGGCCTAAAGCCAACGGTCCAAGAAACAGCTGATCCTCACGCCGTGACCAGCTCATGGTCACGTCATGAGCATGAACTCAACTCGGACCCAACTCAACAGGTCAACTTAGCCAATCAACTCATCCAGTCTTGATTCCAATCATCGTCATGTTATGGCCACTCCTGGGTCATGTCGTGACCTAAACCTAACAAAAAAGTCGCGGATGTCATGAATTCTTATGATGTGGCATGCTCATCCTCACATTATGAGTGTTGCCTTGGCCATCTTTGAGCATTAAGCTCTTATTCCTTTAAGTCACTACTTGGGACTTTGCAAAGGGTCTTCCCCTCACCCAAAGGATAATAAAAATTGAAGCTTTTTAGTTATACATGTCCAATGCATGACTTAAACACTCACTAGGTCAAAAGAGGGGAAATGAGATCAAGACTCATGCTTGGAGTCTAAAACCAACTCCAAAACTCAGATCTGAAGCTTATAATACATAATTGGTCTCAATGATCCATAAAGTTGCCAAATTTATGGATCATATGCATGTTACCCAACTTACCCATGCAAAAAGCAGCTTAAAACCTAGATCTAGCATGCAAGATGTAAAAAGACCAAAGCTTTATGACTTACAAAGGTCCAAAAGCTCTGCAAAAAAGTGAAGCAGAAGCTAGATTGCCAAGAGAATGCTCTACAAATGTCTTTTTCCACTTCAATAAGCCAAAGACCACTAAATACGTTCTTCAAGGTTCGCAAAAATGGCTAAGGACCTCAAGCAAATCAAGATTAAGGTTTTTAGGAGGCTAGAAAGTGAGGGAGGCTGAGTATGGGTAACCCTAGCCCTCTCATTACATTAAATACCCAAAATATTAGGGTTTTGGTTGTTAGGAAGTTCTCACATCTTGAGGATTCATACATCATGTCTTGAGAAGCAAACACGGGTCAACAAAGTCAATGGGTAGTCACGTCGTAACTGAAGGGTTTTGAGCATTCTAACACTCCTAAGGTGTACATGCAACCCTAGAAACCTTGGATCTATGTTTTACTAAGATACATGCAAATTTGATTTTCCAAGGTTCTTAACCTAACTATCATGGCATGGGGAACTCTGAAACATAATAGCTAGTAGAAGATATGTAACATACACGTTTTAAAATCGTGTTTTGTAATGAATAAAATTGTGAAATATTATGTAAAATCAAGTGTTGAGTTCTAACATATGGTTTTTACTAGAAATGAAGTAAAACTATGTTTAGAATCACTCAGAAAAATATTGGAAGTCTTATGAGATTCCAATTAAAAACCAAATAGTGAAATTTAGCGAAAATATAAAATTTTAAATAAGTAAAATTTTATTATTTGATGTTGTAGAGAATCTCGTTAGAAACTTGTAGGCGAAAACCTCGTCAAAATCCAAGTTATAACGAAGAAGTTATGACCAACTGAAGATCCGCAACAAAACCGGCACGGTGCCGAATGACATAAAAAGTGAGTTTTTATAAACTACTTTTTAGCCTTAGTAATCTAAATGAAAGTCGTAGTATTCGTTAAACTGAGAAATTCGATAAAAAGAACGCAAAAATCTGACTTCGTACGAGGAAGTTATGATTTTTCGAAGTTTCGACTTAGTAGTAGATAGCTAAAAACTCGAATTTTAGATCGAGCGATATTTTACTAATACATCCTAAACGAGAATCGAAGGTCTCGTCATTT